TTTCATGAAGATAACTGCTATGGTTGTTGCTCTGGCATCCGTCAACTCCGCATTTTCGTGCTTTACGACAATCTTTGCTGTGATGCCCAGCTGCCAGGCACCGATAACAACGGCTGCTTTTTGAAATTAATTCCTTTCTCTTCTGTACAGGGAGTCTCTTGAAAGCATCACAAACCCATGGTGGATGGTCTTGTTTGCATGTGCTAACAATACAATGTCTGGTTGAAAATCGTGTGTTGAATCCTCAGACACGCGGTCGTTCATCACGATTCTTGTTACCCCGTTCCTCATTCTTCTTACCAAATCCTTCAGTCTCCTCTCTCGCTTCCCCAATGACTTGCACTCGGAGTTCCACCCAGTCTACCAGCGATTCGAAGCAATCTTCTCGAGCATAGTCTATCAACCAGTATTTATACGCTTGAACATCCCGTTCGGTTAGCTTTTTTTTTGCTGGTAAGTTCAGGCTTTGATCTTGTAAGGATCCACAATTGTTGATAGTGATCAAAATTCTCTCTAGTAGGGCTTGAAATTCTTCCAAGTCTTGTAAATTGTGGGACCGAACCTTGGGCCAATTACGCAAAGTTGTAAGCTGCTTTATTTGTTGTCGTCTCTCTACCCCATACCTCTTCTCTAACTTCGACTTTGCTCGTTCATATGCAGCGCTTGAATATCCCAAATCTTTCACCAAAGTCAGTGCTTTACCAGCTAAACAGCTTTGTAACCTGAGCATTTTTTCACCAACTAGAATGTTCTGCACATCAACCATTGCCATAAATGCTGCCTTCCAGGGCTCATAATTGGTTTTATCCTCTCCAGAAAACTTTGGAAGGTCGACTCCTTTCAACTTGATAGGTGATCGGGTTATTGTTTCAACTGGTACTCCCTCAGGCGATCCTGTTGTAAAATTATGTTTCGTAAGAAAATCCTTTACAGTATCACAATCTTCGACTAGTTGTCGTTCCGCATTTTCTGCTCGTGACTTATTGAGCTCAGCTACTTTTATTCTTGCTTCCTCTGTTCGCTGCTTGGTGAGTTCAAGTTCAGCTGCTGATTTTCTCATCTATTGTTCTTTCTCTTGTTGTTCCTTTTCCATTCTTTGCAATCTGTCATTCGCATTCTTAGCTTCTAATTGTTTCTGCTCTACGTGTGAAGGTGTGTTGAAGGTATATTGGGGGGTACTTTGGAGGGTACATTGTGGGTACATTGGAGGGCACATTGAGGGTACATCGGAGGGTACATTGGAGGGTACATTGGGGGGTACGTTGGAGGGTACATTAGGGGGCACGTTGGATGGTACATTGGGGGGGGTACATTGGAGGAACATAGGGGGGTAGATTTGAGGGCACATTGCGGGGTACATTGGAAGGCACATTGGGGTACATTGGAGGGTATATTGGGGTGTACGATGGAGGGTACTGGATCTTTTTCCACACTAACATGTGATTTAAGTGAAAGCAATACTGACTCGGTCTTCCCTGCATTAATTCCCTCTTCTATATGTTTTTCTGCTCCTTCAATATTTACATCAACTGAATATCCAATGTCCTCTAACTCTTTGTCTAATATATTTTTTTCTGTATTAGTCTCTTCATTGTTCTCAGTCATGGCATACACTCCTTTCAAACTATCGATAATCTTTGTAATAATATTCATCTCAGAATTAATTTATGTACGGCTCTTCTTACAGCATTCTTGCTAGGTAGTGCCACGTCTTGTGGTCGATTTTCAATAAGGTCACTCAACTGTTTTTTGGCTTTAGTCATTCTACTTTTGGATAATTTCTTATTAATTTCTTTGAATCTTTTTACAGACGGTACTTCCACTTTTGACGCTTTCTTGGTCAATAAGGTCAGCTTGCATAGTTGTCGTAGTCACGATTTTACAATCATGTTCGGGAAATGATCAATAAAGCACAGGCCTTCGATTCCGCTGATCATGGTATCCTATTGAAGAAACTGAAGGCTTATGGTATATCAGGCAACCTTTACAATTGGTTCACAGGCTATTTACGTGGACGTACTCAGCGTGTTGTTGTCGAAGGTGTTGCTTCAGAATGGTCTCCAGTCACCTCAGGTGTCCCACAGGGGAGTATCTTAGGCCCCATGCTTTTCCTTCTATTCATCAATGATCTCCCTGATATAATACCTCCAACAACTTCAAAAGGGCTGTATGCTGACGACACAAAGCTGTACACGGCAATAACATCTCGCCAGGATTGCGATAATCTACAAGTAGCTTTGTCATACGTTGACGATTGGAGTAAAGAATCCAACATTAGCTTCAACACGTCTAAGTGCAAAGCCCTGACAATATCCCGACGTAAACAACCGATTGTGATAAATTACCATCTTGGGTCCGCAGAATTGATACGCGTAGAGAGCGAAGTTGATCTAGGGATCACTGTTACCAGTAATCTCTCTTGGAATAGGCACATTACAAAACTTGTTACGAAGGCAAATTCAACGCTGGGATTATTACGGAGAACTTGTCCCATGTTAACAAATTGCGATGCTCGAAGAACTTTATACCTGTCACTTGTGAAATCACAACTATCTTATGCCACAGAGATCTGGTCTCCGTATCAGTCGCTTAACAAAATTAGCTTTGAAAAACTACAACGACCCGCCACGAGATGGATCCTCCAAGTGAAGAAAGGTGACATTACATACAAAGATCAATTGCTGGCCCTCAACCTACTACCGTTAACATACGATAGAGAGATAAAGGATTTAACGTTTTTCTTCAAGTTATTGCATGGATATTACAACTTAAATGTTTCTGATTATGTTTCATTTGTTAGTCATTGTCGTACTCGTAAATGTGAAAATCCTTCTCTTATGCTTAAAGTTCCGTGGTGCAAAACAAGTACTTTTCAATCGTCCTTCTTTAATCGTATCGTCCCTCTTTGGAACTGTGTGTGTAAAGCAGCCTCGCCTGCAGACCTTCGTAGTTTAATTATGTTTAAATCGTTCTTGTCAAGAACGTACTTACACTGTTAATTTCAGGGTGTTAAAATAACACCTCGGCTGGTGTTAGATTAACACCAACTGGTGGTGTTAAAGGGGAAGTCAAGTCCGTTCTGCGCATCGGTTCTGCGCATAACAATGTGAGGACCTCTAATGTGAAAATTGCCCAACTTTCGAATGTTTCGAATTTTTCTGAACATAAACTTTATTTCATATTCATTCAGAAACATAGCGAACCAAAATAGTGTTAGATATTCCGACAGTACATCATAGTTTAAAAAATACAGCAGTTCAAAATGTAAACAAACCGTTTGTTTACATTACGGACTTGACTTCCCCTTTAAACAAAGGTGTTATTTTAGCACCCTTTTTCGGTGCTAATTTAACACGACATAAATACAAATATCTTGCAACGTGTTAATTTAACATTCAAATTGTTTTACACCACTTTAGAGGTGTTAAAATAGCACCCACTTAAGGACAGGTGGTGTTAAAATAACACCGGTGTTAAATTAGCACTGTTTGTGGAGCTAGAACATGGGTGTTAAAATAGCACCTTTTTGGTGGTGTTAAATTAGCACAGAGCACGGGTGTTAAAATAGCACCTTTTTGGTGGTGTTAAAACTGTTTGTGCAGTTAGAATAACAAATATTCTTAAACTAAAACACTTTTACACTATAACACGGTATATAAACACACGTTTTGAGCCTGGTCTACCGTCACAGGCTAGGGCTGGCCGATTACAAGTATTTCGCCAAATTAATTAATTGGCAAATATTTATCCGAATATTATTTACTGTTAGCATGAAACAGCCGCATATTAATTTACTGGCAAATTATAAACCATTTTACAAATGAAACATTTGAAATCAGAAGTTAATACTTTTAGACACATAAATAATAAATTAACAGAAATAGTTCCCATGTCACATGCATGTGTCATGTATGTTTATGCATTTCATCATACAGATTGGAAACTGGCAAAATTGGACCTCAAAATATCGCATTACAAATATTATAACACTCTATAATTTGCAGCAGTAGCAACACAATATAAAGATAACACACAATGAAGCCGAATTATTTGAATATTCGCGCGCCGCATGATCGAGCTTTCAACCAATGAGGATAGCGCCGCCGTGAAATCTAATACATTCTTCTCACATCAATACTGCATTTATATAGTTTGTGGTCGTTTGTATGGGAATATATCTGCTATTGTGGTGCGAGGGTTCTATTAGGATTGCTTCTATGTGTCAGTGCGATAGAAGCGATACAAACTGATTAAAATGGCTTTAGTATATTCATATTTCAAGCATAAAGATGGCTTTAAAACAGTGCGAGGAATAAGCGAGCAAGGTTGCTGTTTGTATTTGAATGACAAAGGTCTGGCCGCCAATGCAATTCAAAACGTGTGCTTCACAGCGTCAATGCTTTAGCATATATATATAAACGTCGAAATGAATAAGGTGAGTTATTATAATACTGCGAGAATTATCGTGATTGTTGTCTGCGATTGTCGTATTTATAATACGACCGCCATTATGCTGAGGCTATTCTCATTGCCATTGCAGTTTCAGTTAAGAAAACTTGCGCGCGTTTTGATTTACAAGTACTGTAGTTTTGTCAACCTCGTTCCCAGGCTCCTTGCTCTTGGGAAGCAAAGACCCTGGTCGGGGCTGATGACGTCACACCCAGAATCTGGGAGTAAACGTATAATTTGACTATGGGTCGGGAGGTAGAGGAACGTGTTTGTTGCGTTTGGAAAATTGCAACTTTATGTGTTATAATTTCGGGTGATAAAAATGTAATTTGCAACAAGAGATTGTGAAAGGAACGTTCTAGATTCGTACCGATCATGACAAAGACTTCCTGCTGTACTGAATGTCATCAACAATAAGTGTTGCGTTACATTTCAAGCGAGAAGCTGGATCATATTTCACTTGCAAGGAAAACACTCCACACGCGCCTGGCTTGCGAAGTTTAGCACGTATCGCCGTAGAAACATACATATCTTCTACACAGATTGATCGATCAAACGGTATTAAACGAACGATATGGTTCTTTATAGTTGAAGTGTATCCTGTCTGATATTCAAAACAAAAGATTTATTTTATAACGGGATCCTTTGATTTCCCAAACATCGCCAACATGTGTAAACAATAGTGCTATTTTGACTGTAAAAGCACAGGATTAAAACCCGTTATGGACTGGCTATAAAATTCATTTCATTTACATTGCTGAAACTCAACGATCAAGAAAGATAATGTCGAAGTGTAGCTAGCTATCTGTTATCACACAAACGCCAAGACTCCTCCGTGCGTTTCCGTGCGTGCGGTACAACTTGAATATCTACGACGATATATGCACCAGACACTGGTATTGTACTTTATATAAATTATTTCATATTTTGTGTATACAGTAATTTGCAACATGTATAATATTAGACCTTTCATTGACATTGGCATTGTCCATTGAGGGCTTTATTGAAGAATAATCCAGCTTCTTTAGACTTGTATAATGGATTAATGCCGTTGTGAGTTATCAATATTTAAATCAACTTTAATCTTTATCGTATTCGGCCGTAACCAATATTTTAGAAGTTTAGTCTGTTTTACCAAACAATACTGGAGGCAAACAACCTATCTATCCATGGAAACTTTAAAAGGTTTGTTACAGTAAAACTCATTAATATAAGCGAGACTTCGTGTGCATATACAGTTTATGAATTATGTATATCCTGATAAAACGTAGGACACTTTATACCAGATGTAATAAAAAATACTTTGCTAAACCTTTTCTGCTGTCATTCCTTTGCATTTAAGGGGAGAGGGTAAATGGCGATAGAATTTATAGGAGATGCTGTGCAATATTTTGGCTTCAACAAACAGGTACTCGTGCAGATCGACAAAAAAGGAAATTCATGCAGTTGTGAATTGTCGTATGTCAGCTGTGCACTGTCGATTTCAAACAATTTTGTACGTTATATTTTGTCTTCCTGGTGTTTAACATAAACGATGATAACCTTTTAAAAAAATCTAGAGCAATATGTCTATAAACAGTTTTAGAATCAATAAAATGGACATTCAATGTGTATTTGGCTTGTGTCCAAATGTGTCACGTTTAAGACCGGCAAGGCGCTAATCCTACGACCTATAAACAGTCGCTTTTGAGACATCTGTTTAAAAAAAATTATACCGTGTCCATATCAGAACAATTCATTGGCATATTATAAGCATATTATAAATATCAGAGCCAGAACAGAAACGTACGCGTGAAATGAAACTACGCCCGAACCGGCGAACTCCGAGAAAATAAAAATATTTCAAAGCGTACAGTCATACGTTCTCGTTGCTTGATTTCCTGAATTTTCTGTTGCTATAAGAATCTGCATTTTAGCATGTTTGTATAATTTAAAAGCAAACAGAAACCAATTTAGCAAGTAGTTTGAGGTATATATGATTCTCGAAGATGAATTAGATGATTGTACAGAACGGCCACTCCTTGCAATCGAAGTGCGGAAGTGGAAACATGTAATATGAGACTTTTCCATCCCCCCCCTTCGGCTATCAATTTTCTATGTGTGACGTCATCAGCCCCGACCAGGGTCTTTGCTTCCCAAGAGCAAAGAGCCTGGGAACGAGGTTGTAGTTTTGTCTGATTTATCTTGCGTTTACTGCTTTCATTTCAATTATAAAGACAAGTATTTTAGAACCTGAGATGGAAAATCGGGAAATGGCTGTTAAATGCCCAACCTCAACTATATCATATACATATAGGAATGCAAGATTTTGTGCATTCTATACAAATTGCGCACAACAACACAGACCAACAATACTTTATTCATTAAATTTCAATGGCAAACCGAAACGGTAATGTTTTATATTGATTACTGAACGATGGAATTTATTTTATTAATACTGTCTGTGAGATGAGATACAGTATACACTACACAGCTGGACCTGAGCTGGTGTTTCATAAATATTTTTGCCAACTCGAATTTTATATTCGACTTTTAACCATTAATTTAAGCTGCAATGTTCCCAAATATACCTTATTTTATTGTTTTATTCTGGCTAACGCAGACAATTTTTATCTAATTTGCCAAGGGGATCTTATACCGTAAACCTCCGACTATAAGCCCTGGGCTTATATACTTTCGTAAGCGATTTTTGATGGGCTTATACAAGGGGGGGGGGGTTATATACGCGGGGGGCTAATACATGGATGATCTTTTGTGTTAGTAATAAACAAATCAGACATAAACAAGTCAGTCATAAACAGGAAAATAAACATCCATTAATAACGTGCTTTGATTAACATAACATATAGTCGGCTATAAAGACAATGACAATGTTTTTAAATATTGTTCTCTGTTATATTGAAAGACAATGAAAATGTTGAATAACGTAGTGGGCTACTGGGCTTATATTCGGGGGACTTATATTTGGGGGGCTTATATTTGGGTGTGCTTATGTTCGGGGGGGGGGGCTTATATTTGGAATGAATTGAGCATTAGTATATGTGGTGGGCTTATATTCCGGGGGGCTTATATTCGGGGGGAGGGCTTATAGTCGAGGGGGGCTTATAGTCGGAGGTTTACGGTATAATGACAGAGATAATTTTACCTATCATTGGGCTATCAATGGGAGAGTCCTGAGTATTAATATTTAAGAGTGAAAATATTGA